TTATCACTTTGGCCACTTCCCTTGTCAGAGTTTCAGGAAACCATGGCATATATAATGTGACCTCTTATGAATGGATTATTCCTTTTCTACTGACTGTAACAACTGATTATTCTGTGGAATGCAATAGAATAGATAATATACACAATATAATAAATTTTCGTCAGCTTGTTCTCCTTACCAAAGCTAATTGCCTTCAAGATAGGAATGTTCGATCTAAGATCGATTTTTTAGAAAATCGATTCTTTTACTTTCGATTCTCGATTTTTTGAATCGATTCTTAAGTTCTGATTAAATCGATGAATCGATTCTTAAAACGCGAGATCGATGGTTTGATATTTAGCGAAAGCGAAAAAGAGAATTCTAGAATACCGACCTGTTTCACGTCGTGAAGTTGGCATTGATTGCGTTCAGTAGAGAAAACAGCTTTGCAACTGTAAACTGACTTCCCTTGCAGCAGCGTCAAACATCGAGCATCAACTATCGTGAACTTGCTATTCGTTAGTTTTGATTACGTGATTTGCTTGTAGCGAATAGTAAGCTCACGATGCGCGAAGCTTGACGCTTTCATGTAATAACACCTTAAGATTGAGAAGTCACGTGATAATCCGCCCGGCACTTGTTTCAAAAGTGAGACTGAAAACAGATAGTTTTCCTAAGACCTAACATTCACTTAATTTTGATAAATTATTCTACTGTTTATCTTAATATTATTATTATCGGATAAAAATGGGAAAAATTAAAACAAGTAGTAATTGGCAATTCTTTGTTAAAAATTCCTCTGGCGGCCTTTGAAAGATATGCCAAAGACAAATTAATTGTAAGGGCAATACTACTAATCTCAGCAATCATTTGAAACGACATCATAAATCTGTGCTAGAAAAATCTGAAGATACTAAAGATTCCGAATTAATCGATGATCTTGATGCATCACTGAGCGTAAGTACATAAACATAACAGATATTTGTTTTTGATGCACTTTTATATAGGTTTCATTTTTTGGTCAACAATTATTTTAATGTACTTATACAATCTTTCTCGAAATTTATAAATTTATTACTTGATAAATAACATTATACCTTCTACAATTAATTTCTTGAAATATAATGGTGTTTTCCATTTGACAATCGAGACAAGCGTCGTTCTATCCTTCTTGACATTCAGAGAGTGACAAAGGTAGAACGACACTTGTGTCGACTTGTGTCATCAAATGGAAAACACCCAATTTTATCAGAAAATATGAGAATTAAATGTGGCATCTTCATTAAAACGTTTTTCGTAAAAAAAAAAATGAATTTACACGTATTTGTTCGAAAATAAAATATTAATATCAAATACAAAAATTGATATTATGAGTCATTATTTTTAAGAAAAAACGAATAGGTACGCCATAATTATTACGCTTGATGATGTGAAATTATGGTTAAAAAACTTTAATGTGGATAACATACTTTATCAAGTAACAAGATATTTACAGATTTTAAATAATATCATAATTATAGTTTATTATTTAGAAGGGTATAATAATGCTTAATGACTGTACATTTAAATAAATTAGTGAAATGTAAACAAATATAAAAATGTAACCCACAATTATCTTTATATTCTTCTTAATACTTTTTGTAGATTGCAGTTCCAAGTACGAGTACAGGAATCACTTATTCGTCGCAAATGAGTCAGGTGGCAAATAATTTTGTTTATTATTAATTTGATATTTTAAGGGGATCCTAAACCGATTACCGAAAGTTTATAGAAGTATAATATATATATACATATATAATTTAATTTTAGACGGAATTTAAGAAAATATTAAAAGACCAAATTCGATAATAGTGACATCTTTGATTCATTTCTTACATTATATTATATATCGTTCTATCTCACTTAAACGCATACATCTGTCCTTATCTAACATATGCCAGCACCATCTATCGCAAGACCGCGCAACTATTACTACACGGAATTTCGACTCTGTTGACAGTCTTCGCAAAGTACCCGTATATACGTATTTTCTATTCGGTAGGATTATTTTCCTTCTAGACTTTCAATCTTAGTTCTATAAACTTGGTATCGTTCGTTACAATAATGTGACCTCAGACCTATGCTTATTTTCAAGATATAAACTATAAAACTCTTGTATGAAGCAAGTATAGACCTGAGGTGTCAGCTGTACGAGCTAAAAGTAAGCGAATTTTTAAACTTTTCTTCGATTTTCTCCTAAAATCCGATACAACTGAGGTCCTGTTTGTGCGTACTTTAATTCTGTAAAAACAATTTTTTGCAATCCGTCAATTCAATTCGGAGATATTTCACTGAATGGAAATGATGGTAAAGTAGAACAACTTTAGCATCCCCCTAAACAATTAATTTTTCAAAACTATGAAAAGAGAGAAGAAGATATTCAATACATGGCGAGTAATCTCCCTTGAAAATTTTCTTTAATTCATGCGTGACTTTATTGACTACAAAATTTGGATTAATTTGAAAATAGGAAAAGTTCTAATATGAAAATCCTATATATTCCAGTTTTCGGATTAATAATACATATATAAATATACCTATATACTATTCCGTTAACATATATAATTATTAATTTTTTATTTATTATTTGAATGTTACTCTATATTGCGTTCTTGCTGGTTGAATTAATCATTGACCTTAGAAAATACTTTGGAAATGCATTAGTATTAGTATCTATGTATTAGTTTGTATCTGAATGGTCCTCTATACAAGTCATGCAGATTTGGATTTGAGCTCAAAAGAATATGATATGAATTTTAGATTTTTGTAGTAGAATTTGTTGTATTTCTTATCCTTCTCCTCTCTTTCTCTTCAGTATCTGTAATAATTATATACTTGTTTTAGTATAAGTGTAGAGAGATAATAGCCATAAAAAAACTACTTTATAGCTATGATGTGGATGGAGTAACCTGATGATGGATCCAAATAGCAATGTGTCTGTTGCTGGCATGTTGTTTGCTAAGTATATAATACATTGCTAAGTATGTGTTGCTAACAGAATTGTAACAACTGAGTTCTTATTTGTTGGCAACTTGATGCCTTTACATTAGATGTGATAACATTGAATAACAACTTACCAGCAATTTGTCGACTTTAAAATTCTCATCATCGTCATCATCAAAATTCGTACTATTGCTATCATGTTGGCATAATAATATGAAGCATCATACAATGCTGTCATATTGCCGACAACGCAAGATAACATTGATGCAGCTATCTTGCTATTAAACTGCTGGCAATACATATATACATTGTTATCTGCATGTTGCTACAATGTCGATATATTCGAAACCGTTACAGACAGATCTACAGCAAGTTGCACAGCATCATAAGCAATCACAGATTTGCGCGATTTTGCTGAGACATGCTTTGCTATCTGGGGAGATACCACAACACAGAAAAACATCATCCTATTGCTAAAAAAAAAGTGATTACTCATCAATTTATTCTTTTTCTTTTCAGTGGCAGTTACTTATACAATTTAAAGAATACTTTTTTTGGTAATAGTTTCAAAATATACTTATTACAAATTTTAGAAAAATCCATTATCATGTATCAAAAAAGAATTTATCTTCTTTTGAAGAATGTTATAAAGCTTTAGAAACTATATACTAAGCAAATCGAACTTGTTTTAATTTAATAATCTCTCTCTCTCTCTCTCTCTCTCTCTCTCTCTCTCTCTCTCCCTTGATTGAAATATTGAATTTTTTTCTTAGGATTCAGAATATATAATTTTGAATAAATTTGATGCTTTTGATGAAGTTACTATAGATTTTTATAAATATATATCTAACTTTTGAAATACATAATTAAATGATAAATATTTAAATATAATACATATGTATTTTTTTTTCCTGTGTACAGGATCTCATTCTACTCCACAACTGGCCTGCGATTCCTGCAACTGGCAAACTGGCTTGTGACAATTCATATATATTGTGTGTCACAGTAACCTAACAAGTAAGTGATCCATGAGTTTGCACGCGAGGTATAGTCATTCCGGCTTGAAAAATTCTTGAAAATTTCTGCGAAATCTTATATATCTGATTACTTTTATATTTTATACTTCGAATATTAGATATTAGATATGATATATAGGCTTCCTTTCTTCTAGTTAAGGAGCCCAGTGTCAGATTTCTCTCTCCTGGGCTTCTATCAGGTGCTATCAGGTCTGGAACAGACTCATCTCAAGGAGAAGAAGAACGCTGTGGCAATTTAGATTATCTGGAACTGTGAATCATACGCGCGCGCACATGCGAGACTGTGAGGGAGGGGGAGAGCCGAGAGAGAGAGAAAGAGGCGCCATCGGCAGGACACAAATGACACAATGGGACAACTCTGTTTATCGCAGACCTAACCCGGCTTACCCGGTCCGGAGCCACCCGAGCTGGCCGAAGCCGAGCACCTCTCCGTCTCCCCGGCCCCCGCTGTACGGCTACACCAGTCTCGCGGTTTTGCCGCTCTGAGTCTGATACGCTCTGATAGGTGACGTATATGATACCCGTCGGCGGCGGCAGCGGCGGCGACTATCTCCCGACCGTTGGTCGTTCGTGCTCGTTCCTTTCCTGAGCGGTCAGTATCGCCTAGTCGGCACAGTGTGTCTGGTTCGGGGTACTTGTTTGCACATGAGTGTATGCGAATCTCCACCGTTCGCTCTCCATCTCGCTTCGGCTCTCTTTGTCTCACGTCATCTCTCTCCTTCACGGCGGGACAGATTGGCTCCGTGGAGGTATCCGTGTAGGATGACCGACTCTGAAATCCAAATGCATTACACCCCACCGACGTCAGATACCATTCAGACGAAACCGTTTCCGATCCGAGGTAATATTTTGAGTCTCTCTCTCTCTCTCTCTCTCTCTCTCTCTCTCGCTCCGTGCGCAGCGCTATGCCTCTTTCTGCCCCACGCAAGCACTCGTAAGATCGAACACGTGCGAGGAACGTGAGCTCGCGCCCGCGGTTGCGTTTCGGAGCAAGTTCAAGGTCTCCGATCTCGCGGTCAATGTACCGGGTGTCTTCTCCCCTGTAATAATGCGATCATCGCACCGGTTTTGCGATCGGTCTCAATGTCGCGAGATCTCGTCCGTCGTCGCCGGAAAGCGCAGGAGCGCGAGCGGGAAAACTTGTACGTACCTTCAACTCAATCTTATTTATTTATCTGATATCTCCTTCTCTCCGATGTCCAAAACGATAAATCTAACCAGAGGGACACGAACATTAAATGATCGATTTCGTCTGAAGATCTTTTTTATTACATCGCATCCTTTCAATTATTATGCAATTTTTTTTTTTTCACTGACATGTCTATTACCATACATTTAGTTTAACAGGAAAAAAAGTTGTGAGATAATAAAAGAAAGAAAACTAAATATCTATCTCTTCCCAGATAGCGCGTGGAACATTTCAGTAATATCGCATAGTAACGTTATAACGTTGTAACGTTGTTCTTAGCCACTGATATCGCCTCCCGGAGAAACATTTTGACAAGCAGAATGTACTTGATGTGTGCATATCGCGTTGAGACTGCAAGATAAATTATCACTTTTTGTTCCACTAGTAACCTTGAGTAATCAAGAAATGTAACGCCAACAACAAACAAAAAGAATCTCTCTTATAATATTCGAGTTTGCTGACGGAATTAGCTACGTTTCATTTCCTTCGCGTGCGAGGATAAACAATTTGATACTGTGATATATGCATATTATCGCCTTTCAAGGAAGCAAACTAATTGATAAATTACGTACATTAGATAAATTACTCCTCAGATAATGCGCTAAGCGCATTAAATATATCCTAGAGGAGGAAGAATAAACATCATTAAAAAAAATCCATAGGTATATTATTCGCACATAAAAAACGATTATGTATTTCTAATCTTGAGCCGATAAAATTGACACTATATTTAAAATTATTATTTTAACTTTATTTTAATATTACTTTTATTGAACGTATACGAATGCGAAACGGAGACTGCAGACTTTAAACCCTTCAGGCAGAATTATTTGTCGACGGACGATTAACAACGATATGTGAACGAGATGTGGAATAATAATTATATGAGTTTAAAAAAAAAAGTCAAAAGTGTACCTTGGACGAATTCCAAATCTTATCTCATTTTTCAAGTACAATGTATCTCTATGTTAAATTACATCTCGACATTCCTGATATTCGAGATTCACGATTAGAATATTAGTAGAACCATCGAGTGCATATTATACAGTCTAATCATCACGCCAAGAGGTGCCAGATCTCAACGAAAAATAGTTTTCCAAGTGCCTCATCGTATTGGTGTATGATTAGACCTAGTTTCGTAAGAGTTAAAAGACGTGGCACACATATATACATATATGTACACACACATATGTATATAGATAACAGTTAAGGATCGAATTACGTATGTAACTTTAACTGCAATTTTTTAAAGCGAAATTACAACTGATAGTATCAATTGTCGAACAAACATCTGTTGCATATACTATATGTAGAAGCGTGGAATTTGACATATCTCGATACTACAATATTAAACCGGATTTTGGGTTATCGTATTGATATTGAAATCAATACAACCTATCAATCCAGTCTAACTGGATAACTAAATATACGAAATAGAAATTAGCTTCAACACATATGAATGAAGAAGAGCATATATTCAAAACGGGTATTTGTGCCTAATAATATTTAAACATATATCTATAAAAATAGCTCTATCAGTGTTGAGAGGGTTGAGGGATTATTAATGATCCCTCACGCGTTTAATTTCCTTTCCAATATTCGTCCCTATTAGATACAGATATATCCTTTTATTTTTCATATTTTTATCAGCTCTTTTACATCTCTTTTACAGGTGAACGTGCAAATTTCGTGAATAAGCCTCATGTGATCGCGATGGTCGGTCTGCCGGCTCGCGGCAAGACCTATATATCCAAGAAGTTGTGCCGATATCTCAATTGGATCGGTATCAACACAAAGGTTTTCAACCTGGGTGAATATAGGCGACATGCTACCACGGCCTATCAGTGCCACGAGTTCTTCCGTCCCGACAACATAAAGGCTATGGCAATACGCACGCAGTGTGCGAAGGACGCCCTAAACGACGTCTGCCAGTGGCTGGAGAGCGGTGACGGTGAAGTGGCCGTCTTTGACGCCACCAATTCTACGGTCGACAGACGTCAGCTGATACGCGATATCGTCGTACACAAGATGGGTTTCAAGCTATTTTTCGTCGAATCAGTGTGCAATGATCCAGAAATCGTCGAGCAGAACATTATGGAAGTATGTAGAAAGAAGAAATAGTCAGAGCAATTGGACAAAAAGTTATTCGTATATGAGAATTAATATCGATTTTAATTTAACGCGCGCGCGCGCGCGCGCGCGTGTGTGTGTGTGTGTGTGTGTGTGTACATAATTTTTTAAGATAGTTAATGAGATTAATAAAGAGATTTTTTTTAAAAAGGAAGCAGAATATATGTATGTAAAAGTATCTATTGGTTGTTATGTTATAATAGATTAATATTCGTAAATTAATATTAATATATAATTGATTTAATAGATATATGATTGATAAAAACATAAGTATTTATTTAAACGTTCCAATTCTGTTATCCAGGTGAAAGTCAGTAGTCCGGATTACGCAAACATGAAGAAGGAGGATGTGCTTGCGGACTTCATGCTGCGAATCGAGCATTATCAGGAAAAATATCAGCCGTTGGACGAGGAACGCGAGAGCGACTTGTCATTCATGAAAATATACAACACCGGCGAGAAGGTGCTGGTCCATAAGCACGAAGGCCATATACAAAGTAGAATAGTTTACTACCTTATGAACATTCATATTGTGCCACGCACGATTTACTTGACCAGGCATGGTGAGAGCCTGATGAATCTCGAGAGCAGGATAGGCGGCGATTCGGATTTGAGCGAGCGGGGACATGAATATGGCAAGGCATTAGCAGATTATATCAGTAATCAGAACATACAGGTAATCTTCCTTGACCTTTTTATAACTCATATTTTATCAATTTGTTAATTTTGTACATGTATATACGTATATTATATATACATATACACGCACACACGCACACACATACATATATCGTGCTTAAAAACTTATTTAATTTTAATTCCGATTATAATAATCTCAGTTTTAAATAATATGAGGATAGATAGATATGTATAATCATTTTTAAGAAAATTATAATTTAGAATATAATGTACTACATATTCAATGATCAAAGGGTGTATATTTTTTTATATGCCGTTTACAAGTGCCGTATTATTCTCTGCATGTTACTTTGATCACGCTCAACTCTTGAAACAATCTTACCCCGCATATTATGTTAAACAACATTGTATCTGCATACGTAGGGCTTAAGAGTTTGGACTAGCTGGCTGAAAAGGACCATTCAAACTGCGGCTGACGTAAAGGCACCGCAGGAAAGGTGGAAGGCTCTCAACGAAATTGACGCTGTAAGTAAAGCATTAGATAGACTAGCTAATTAAACAATTTCTTACCTTCGCTTCTCTTTGTGTATCAACCTAGGGTATTTGTGAAGAAATGACTTACGAAGAAATCGCCTCGAAATATCCTACGGACTTTGCCGCGAGAGATCAAAACAAGTTCTCCTATCGTTATCCAAGAGGAGAAAGTTACGAAGATCTTGTTGCACGACTGGAGCCTGTGATAATGGAACTGGAACGTCAGGGTAACGTTTTAGTTGTCAGTCATCAAGCGGTCATACGGTGTTTACTCGCTTACTTTTTGGACAAGAGTGCAGGTCAGTATCATAACACGTTTTAATTTATCATTCAATATCTCACAGGATATTGATATTTGTTCTCTCGTGAGTTGTGATTACTTGCACGCGCAAATCAAACGATACAATCACCGATGATACGTAACATGTCTGAGCACGTGATGACGTCTAAGAATGAAGAGATTGGAATGTCGAGATGTTAAGCGCAACTTTTGACCTTCGACGTATTAAAATGTGTCGAGAAAATAAATGATAAATAGTCATACACGCAAAAGCGGATTATAGTGGACGTAATTATTCGTTTTGTTCAGCGGAGTAATTCGTTTCTTCCTATGCGATTCCTCCTTTCATATTCCATTAATACGGCACGAATGACGAAAAGCATATATCTAAGATGCCCAATTTTTATTTCTGTGTTATAGTTAATCTAATACAGTCAATTCAAGTTCTTTCTATTTCTTCCTACTTCAGATGAATTACCGTATTTAGAAGTACCTTTGCATACCATCATGAAATTAACACCGGTCGCCTATGGTTGCAAGATGGAGCATATTCGACTACCGATAGAAGCTGTGGACACTCATCGACCGAAACCAAAGGTAGAAATTATCATAATAAAGTCGTAACAACTGTGTCTTTCCCCCTCGAGTGCGTTTTACTTGCTGAAAGTAGAGATGGCGAAAGCAAGTACCTTGCTGTTTGCTTGCAAATTTTCCGTTACCAATACTTTATGCCAATAAAATATTTAATTCCTATGCGCTGCTTATGTTTTAATGTTCCCAGAATGCCTGACCCTGTTAGCTGTAGTGGAAAAACGGACTTTTTCTTGTATCTAATCAAAACCTCATCCTAGAATCATCCTAGAAGCATCCGTCAAAAAATCACTTTCACGAATTAGAAATTCGTCGCATGCATTTTTCCTACGGACCTGGGACAAATATGTCACATGTGTGTTTTACTCTCAATTTTATGTTTACATTATGTATATATAAAATTGTGTTGTTATATAATTGTCGCATAACGTTAGTCTTGTGTGAAATTGTAAAAAGATAATTATTTGTAATCATATTCTTACTGAATAATTATTAATCTTTAGATTTATCTGTTCATAATTTTTTCAGAAAGTATAAATATAAAGCGTCGATATTGCGGAATCGTGATGGTACCAAACGCTAATGTGTATTCCTATTAAGCTTATTCACTTATCAGCGATATGATAAGTTTTTATTAAACTTGTATTTATCAATGTGTGTGTGTAATGATTGCATAATATAGGTAATTTAAACATATTTATAATTTTGATCGCTTAGAAAAAAGTAATGAATTCAATTATAGTAAAATTAAATACTATATTCTTGCAGATGTATATCTTTTATTTGAAAAACTTGTGAAATTAATTAATTATTTGATCAAATTAATTACAAAAGGTTAGATCAGAATGCAAATGTAGACGAAAAAGGTGAATGGATTGTATCTCCTGACACAAGGCAAATTGTACTTGTACACGCGCAATTATATATTCCTGTGTACGATAACGATAGCACCGTGATCGGCAAAGTTATTCATGAAAGGCTCAAAGACCGAAGCTGTAGCATAGCATCTGATCTCAATTGTTTTGATACGCTAATAAAATTTCTTTGTCGCAAACCTGCTGTAAAGCATGTATCTTCGATAGAGAAACATCCTGCTCAGCCTGCGTCTACATGTAGATTGTTCTTTTCTTTCCGCGATGCACATATTTTCGGCAAACGCTAAAATGCCCGTTGTGGAACTTTCAATTTTCAGATCCCAGGATATCTGGAAGAGCGATTCCGAGGAAAGGGGAAGGTACTATGCACGTGATAACAACGAATTTCACGGCGCAGCTATTCCTTACCGTTGATATACCAAGACGTTGAAGCAGCATAAATTCGGCAGCTGACTTCTCGCGCGCATCCGAGCCCTTTTCTTCCTACATGTGTCAAAAGCGAGACGAGGCGCGATCGGCAATGTATCCTATGATATGAATCCTAGATAGGGCACAGACGCGGAGGATCCTCCGCGACGACGCAGATCCCGTCACTCCCGTCTGACGGGAACACGGACATACTGCGCGCGCGCACGTGTGATTTTTATATTTTTCGATCGCCATCTAACTAGATAGTGAGAAGAACGTATGTGATAGATTATAGAGGATGATCCGATGATCGTCGATGAGAAGAGTCTGCTGTGAGCTCGTCTACACGCGTCTTTTACACGACGGATGATTCTTTTTTTTTTTTAAACAAGCGCGTGTGGACCCACGCGTTCTCTCTGAGATCAGCGCGTGCTTTGAAGTGCTTTGCTTCTTGCCGAAGAAAGATATTTATCATATCTTGATAACAATATTATACTTGCACGATAGACGTATACCGTGGTTCCAAGACAGAATTTTGTACAATCCTACTCTCATTCGGCAGATGCGTACTTCGAAGTGCTCGCTCGCGAATCTGAAAGCAGATATATATATTTCTTTTTTACTTCCATATATCAAACATTATCTCGGAATTGTCGTCGGATGCTTTTTAGAGCGACTCCAAAATCGATCCAAATATCGTAAAATTGTGACGTTGATAATAATACTCGACTACGTAAAGGTATCGAGATATAATAGTACAATACTTTAGATTGTGCGATAATACTTCCGATCAAGCTAACGAATACGTTACAGTTCAATCCATTCTAACATGTACGTTGCGATCTTGTATATTAAGTAGCTGAATTACGTACGTATTTCGATTATGGATATGTATCTCGATCAATGAGAAACATATAATAAATAACACATGCAATTTTATGAATCCTGCACCTATTGATTTATATATTCCTATTTAATAAGTTATACGTGTATTGGAGATTTATTCTGTATGTATATACATACATGCGCTACTTACTTATGAGAAAATGAATGAGTTTTCGCCCGGTATGAATGATGAAATATACAAGCATTTTCTTCAATATTTTTCTGTAAAATGCCATGAGAAGGGAAATAAAAGGTAAGCATGTGTTTACAAGAACGATATACAAATCTCGTATAGGACATTTTCTGAATGAGAAGCGAAAATACGTAGAATAAAATTTTATTTTATTTTATTTTATTTTAGTTATTAAATTATATCGCTTTTCTTTCAAAAATTTATTCTATTTTTAATTTATTTTCAATATATCTCGATAAAAATGATATATTTTTTTCCGAAGTATTTAAAAATACGTATATACCGTGCTGATATGCCGCCATAATATTTCCGGCATCCGTTAGATAGCGCTTGGGAATTGAGTAAATGGTAGCGTTCAGCGAAGAAAGGAGCTTTGCAACTGTTGTATGATTTTCTGCTGACCGCCATCTAGCAGTTTACGCTTTTCCAACATGTTAATTAAGCGGTCGCTATTATTTCCAGCGGACTGGAAGTACGCTTAATAAGCGCAACATGTTGTGCTACATATAATCTTGTTAAAAATGAATGAAATAATCGAGAAATGTTATACCTATAACAATATAATATACACTGTTACGGCAGCAAGTGACATACACGATAATTTGCAAAATGGTAAAAACTTAAATATTATATAGATAAGTTTAATTATTATATCTTATATTATTGTTTTATATAAGTTATAATAGTTGTTTTCCATTTTTATACGTAAAATTGAATCTGAAGTAATTTGAATATTTTATACTTAGTTAATGCCGTTATTACTTGCTTATTTTAATGATATGAAAATGAAATGAATGAAAAAAAGTTATCGTATAATACAGGTGTATAACCTCACTTCTAATGTATATACATATGATACAGTAGAAGAAAAGTCCGTTCAGCAGAAATCATAAGCTGCTGGCAGCGCAGCACAAAGCGCTCACTAAGCTGCTTTCTTCGCTGAACGCAGCCATTATTTGTGTTTGCGGAAGAAAAATTTAAGAGCTTTTGAAAGAGGGAGAGAGAGTTTGGGGTTTAAATAACTCTCTCACACAAGTTGTGACTTTGTTGTTAAACCAATAACTGTTGTTAAACAAATACGACGATTGTGATTTCGAGCTTATCGCGAAGGCAATGGCATCCACAAACGAGTTCGGTCCAGATTCTGGTGGTAGAATAAAGGTAACCTAAAAAATTAACCGTCAGTAGCACAAACTGTAATAATAATAATTGGTTTGCCACCACAAGATTCGTATAATAAAAATTGACATATTACTTTATCAAGTGATTTACTTTTAACAGGGAGTTACGATAGTCAAGCCTATAGTTTACGGGAATGTAGCACGGTACTTTGGCAAAAAGAGGGAGGAAGATGGACACACGCATCAGTGGACCGTATACGTTAAGCCGTATAACAACGAGGACATGTCCACCTATGTGAAGAAGGTGCATTTCAAGTTGCATGAGAGTTATAACAATCCTAATCGGATTATGACAAAGCCACCGTATGAATTGACAGAAACCGGCTGGGGAGAATTCGAGATGGTCATCAAGATCTATTTTCATGATCCGAACGAACGTCCTGTAAGTGAAAAGTGAAAAAGTTTGCCGCGAGACTAAAAATTTCCGAATCTAATTGTTGTATTTTATTGGCTGTAAAAAATGTGTGAATTAATTTCAGGTAACAGTATATCATATATTGAAATTATTTCAATCGACGCCCGAGATACAACTAGGGAAGAAGAGTCTAGTATCCGAATTTTACGAGGAGATAGTTTTTCAGGATCCAACAGCCTTGATGCAACATCTACTGAGTTCTAGTAGGCCAATGACGCTCGGAGCTTGGCGACATAATACAGACTGTTTGTATTCAAATCATGCGTGTATATTTCATATTGGATTAATTTAATAATAATTTAATAAATTTATAATTATTGCAGTTGAAGCACTGAAGGAATCTACAATGAAAGATATTATGGAGGCACGCAACAAGATTAGACTCGAAGTGATAGATTTGAAAGAGAAATTGACTCTGGCAAAAGAGACTATTGCAAAATTCAAGGAGGAGATTGCAAACATTTCTAAAGCCGGCGGAAGTTTATCCGTCGCGTAATGATTTATTATTATTTTAAAATACGAATAATTATATTAAAATAGACGATATTTATTAAATTGCTCCAACAAATGTAACGTCTTTTCCCATGTATAAAGTGTACATAAAATTTCGTAATTATAACTTTATCAATTTTATTTTAATTAATTTATAAGTAATAAAAAATTCCATTTCACTGTATATATATTCAACATTACTGTTATAAGATAATAATAAAATTTCCTCTGTTTTTCAACATTGACAGTTTTCATTAATCATTGTACTCGCGATGAAACTTATTTCTAATGTAATGCTTTTTTTATCATCCAGCTCGTCTAGTCAAGGAGGCTACTTATGTGAGATGCCTGTATATGCAAAAGAAAACGATTTGAAAAATTTACGAGTGAGTCCATTCCTAAGTTGGTAATTTCGTTTAATAAGACGATGTATAATGTAACGTAATTTCTCAACTCGTGGAGACACAATATTAAGACACACAATAATCGTGAAAAGTGAGCGACGCGTTTTTCGAACATCAAGAATTCTTAAAAGAAGAAATTTAGAATTATAATACTAAAAAAGATGAAACACAGAATAAAGGTGAGTATATGAGAAGATCCGTTTAGATAAAAATAGATTTTTTTTATTCGGAAACTGAAATTCCAACGGAAAAGATAAAAACCGAACAAAGGTCAGCACATGAAAAGAATGGGATCCATATAGATAGGAATGAGGATTGAAAAATGTTTCAGATAAAGATACAAAAACTTTTTTTCTTGGAACGCAAATGGTTGTAACACAGATTGAGATTTATCGGGATGTTATTATATTAAGCAGTTTGTTAAAGAAATTATTCGAATAAACGCGGCTTTTAAAGTATTTCGAGATACGAAAAATGTTTACATCACCAGTTGCGACACACCGCGATACACGTGACGCAGCCCGATGATACGTTAATATGAATCGTAAGTAGCAGTTATCGCGCGCGTTCAACTATGAGGAAGGTGCAGGGGATGTGATGTAAATGTGTGTCAAGATTGCTTGTATGTATACGAACGTAAGCGCATGCGACGCTTTACGTTCGGCGCTGCATCCGACATTAACTAACGTTGCTCCCGGGCCTGGTGAGAGTAACTGGAAAAAAAAAATCGGCTATTTTCCGCTTGCCTAATCCCTTCCGAGAGACGAAAGATGAGCACGGTCACCGAGAAAACGTAAGCATTGTACCATTGTGCGCGAGTTTTCGTTCATTAGGTCGACGGTCACGTCAATTCTCGTGCTGGTTCGTGCTGGTATCATGCTGGTGCGCACAGTCCCCTACTTGTGATCCTCGATCATCGACTATTCTTGACCCAATCTCACCTTCTTGTGTGCCGCCTAACTGACGTGCCGTCGCAATGATTCACGAGCGTTATGTAACACTCAACCGGCCAGTCAATCTAACACGGATACGCAAAGTGCGAGATATATCACTTTAATAATTAAAAGTCCCTTTCTTTCCTGATATACATTACAATTAGAGCTGCCGACGTAGGTACGTTCCCTCGATAAAAATGTCAAGAGACATTTGTTGATGCCGTGATTAACGATTTCGAGTTCTGATTCAAAATACCGCGTTGAATGATTAATTAAATAAATTCTTTAAATCTTTCAAACTTTATTTTTTATATTGGGTGAGTGCAAAACTTCGTATCCCATTTATTATTCAAAATTCAAACAGCTGTTATTTTTGTTAAAAGTAAAATAAAATTTAAACTTTACTCTATCTGATGAGAGAATTTAAGAATCTGTTTTTTTTTTAATTGTGATGGTTTTGCTGGAATTATGAGCAATAAAAGTCCAAATATTCCTTTTGCATTTAATTCGCAACAACTCGGTAACAAAAAATCGTAGGGACATTTTTTAAAAACGATTTTATAGGGAAAACTTTAAACTTTTACATTAGAAATTCAAAAATTTTTGCAAATTTTTTTTGGACATGTGGCAGGCCCACAAATTGAAGAAAAAAATTTCCCGTTTTGTTTAACTCGTATAAGTTTTCTATATGTAAAAATGACAAAACCCACACAAATTAAAAAAAAACATAGTAATGGTCCGAAGGTAGAAATTTCAAGCTTTAAAACCCTTTTTTTAAATTTCAATTTCGTTTATTTTTTAACAAAATTGCAGCTGTTTGAATTTTGAATAATAAATCGGGCACGAATTTTTGCACTCACCCAATAGATTTGCAGTTTAAAAACCGACGAGTGTGTGCGATGATTTTCTTTTCTTCATCAATAAAATATCGTTTCAAAAGACGATGAAATTAATACATGAAAAGTGATTCTATAACATAAGTCAAGATCATTTTATGTACAGTCGTGTTTATGCTCGGTAATTTTCAGGAACACGAGTGACACAGTGAATCAAAAGGAATTTGTACGAGTATATACTACAGTTATTTAAAAATAAACGTAAAATTGATAATCAACTAGCTTTCTAAATAAATAAATTAAGAGTACACACCTAATCGATAGCAATTAACTCACTTTGTGTGAAGATATTACTCATTACGAATTAATAATTTTTTGTTACAGATATTAAGCACTTTTTTTTAATTTAAAGATTTTATATTTAATATATACACATATTATTTTTTTAATATAATTTTTTTCAATTTATCCAAATTAAATAATATCTTCTTCAGGTATTGCGTGTATAAAATTAGTATAAATTAAGTGATTCATTTTATTCTTAATAGGCAAATATGCAATTTCAAAAACATTCCAAATAAAAATGTTACAGTATACAGGGTGTTTCCAAATTAAATGGCAAAACTTCGGGAGCGTGTAGAGGAGTAAAAAACTAAGAAAAAAAGTCCTATAGACATATGCTC